GTATGGAGTGAGGTGTGGGTCTTGCTTGAGTCTTTTGCAGATATTTTTCCAGACACTGTTAACAACTTAATCTTACTTGGATCCACAATCAACACCCTTGGTACTAGCAGTTAGAAAATCAGGAGACTTAATATACTGGGAAAGTCTGCAGTCAAGGGACCTCTCCTAATTATTGAGGAGCATTGATGTCATTTTGAGAACTAAAATGTGTCTGAGTCAGGCCATGGTCTTTCTGATCACTTGCTATGTGTCTGAGAGCTGGATAATGAATAAGGATTGAGTGAAGAATTGATACATTTGAGCTGTGTTGTTGGAGAATAGTACTGAACATCCCACAGACAGCCAAAAGAACAAACAAATTTATCTTTTTAAAAGTGCAGTCTTAAAGTGCAGAGTTCTCCTTGGAGAGGATGATAAAGCTTTGCCTTACATACTTTGGGCATGTTGCTAGGAGAGGCTGTTCCTTGGAGAGGAGCATAATGCTTAGAAAGGCAGAGGGTTGACAGAGTTGAGGAAGACCCTTAACCAGGTGGATTGATATAGTGACTGCTAAAATGAGCTCTAGTGTATCAGGAAGTTTGAGAATGGCTCAGGATAGGATACAGATGTGTTGTTCATAAGGTCACTATGGTTCATACTCAATTCAGTGGCACCTAACACACATTTAAACTGTTCCCAATCTCTGAGGGCTTATCTAGGAAAAACTATACTTATGTGAAAGATTTCTTATTGTTTAAAGAAATGAACAATTCCATCTTTTACTTATTCCCTCATTGCTGCATCCTCTCTGGGTATATTATCAAGAAATAAGGATCCTATACTCAGGTGCTCTGATGGTGTGATGTCTTATAAAATGCACTGCTAACCTGATGATCAGTGATTAGAATCTAACAGCTTGTTTAGGAGGGAAAGGTAGGAAGTCTCCTACCATAAAGATTTACCTGATGGAAATTGCTATGGATTGGAATCAACTCCATCTGTAGGATATTGTTTTTAGTCAGTTTTTATAACATTGCTGTAATATTTTGACATCTATTTCATGGGGAATATTTAATTCTCAAAAAAATTATTTTTAATTGAATCATGTACTGCTGTTTCTATATTGTTGTTGTCCGGTACCATCAAGTAGAGTATGATTCATAGCTACCCAATAAACCAAAGATCTCGACCCTGTTCTGTCCTGCACCATCGTCACACTTCCTGACACATAAAAGCTAATTGTAGCAGTCACCATGTCAATCCACCTGGTTGAGGGTCTTCCTCATCTTCACTGACCCTCTACCCTTCCCAGAGTCATGTCCTCTTCCAAAGAATAGCCTCTTCTAGTAACATGCCCAAAGTATGTGCAGCAAAGCCTCATCATTCTTACCTCCAAAGAGCACTCCAAGATATATTCCCAAGATATACTGGTTGGTTCTCTTGGCCGTTCAGTGCTCTTCTCCAGTACCGCAGCTCAAAGGTTTCAGTTCTTCTGTCATCCTTATTTATTGTCCAGCTCTCAGATGCATGACAAATAATCAGAATAGCAAACTGGCATCATTATTCCTCAGTAATTTGGAGAGGTCCCTAACTGCAGATTTTCCCACTGTAATTTATTTCCTGACTGCTCGTACCTAGGGTGTAAATTGTGGATCTAAGCAAGCTGAAGCTGTTGACAGTTTGAATTTCCTCTCCATCCATCTGGAAGCTGCCTGTCAATCCAGTGGTAAGAATCTTTGTTTTCTTGACATTGAGATGCAATCCATACTGAAGGCTGCAATCTTCGATCTTTGGCAACAAGTGATTCAGATCTTCTTCACTTTGAGCAAGCAAGGTTGTGTCATCTGCATAGCTCAGGTTATTGATTAGTTTACCTCCAATCCTGATGCCACATTCCTTTTCATAGAGTCCAGCTTCTCAGATGATTTTTTCAGATTATTTAGATTGAGTAGTTATGGAGAGAGAATACAACCCTAATGCACTCCCTTCTCAATTTTAAACCATGCAGTATTCCCTTGTTCTGTTCCCACAGCACCCTTCTGGTCCAAATATAGGTTCTGCATGAGCTCTAAGATTCCCGTTCTTCTCAAATGTCAGCCACAACTTTTATGATACACACAGAAAGCATGGAGGAAGATGGAAGGAATGCACAGAGTTGCTGTACCAGAATTGACACAAAAATTTCAGGAAATACCATATGAACAGGAGCCATTGGTAATGAAGGAGGAAGTAGAAGCTGCATTGAAGGCATTGGCAAAAAATAAGGCCCCACAAATCGATGGAATACCTGCTGATTTGTTTCATTTAACAGATGCAGCCTTGGATGCACTCACCAGTCTGTGCCAGGAAATTTGGAAGACAGCTGTCTGGCCAATGGATTGGAAGAGGTCCAATTTTGTTCTTATTCCTAGAAAAGGTGATCCAGCGGAATGAGGAAGTTATCAAACAATATCATTAATATCACATGCAAGCAAAATACTGCTGAAGATCTTTCAAAAATGGCTAGAACAGTACAGAGATAAGGAACTACCAGAAGTTCAAGCAGGATTTAGAAGAGGCCGTGGCATCTTCGATATCACTGCTGATGTCAGATGAATCCTGGCTGAAAGAAATACCAGAAAAATGTCTGTCTGTGCTTTATTGACTATGCAAAGGCATTTGACTGTGGGGATCATAACTGTTTCTACATTACAGACCATGAAATACAATATAACATGTAAGTGACTTGACCCAGCCCATTTAGTGAGTCAGTGATAAAGGTACAAATTTGAACACCTAGGTTCTGATGTCTGTTCCAGAGTTTTAACTAACCTGAAATGGTTGTTTATTTATTTGGTTTTAAAAATTCAGGTTTAATTTTTAGAATTAAGAACTTCCCATGGAATCCCTTGATGGTACAATACTCTATTCCACATTCTTATAACTATTTACCTTTTGTACATCAAATACCACAGTAATGTGTACTCCTAGGCCGTAAAAGCAAAGAGGAAGAAACTTGAGTCGCTATTTGTTACATTATGAGGGAGAAAGATAGGCAGTCTTCTCCCATGGATGAACTGCTTCTGGAAACTCACTAAAGCCTCAGCCATGTGTCAGTTTTGACTGGAAGGCCCACATCAACAACATGTTACATGATAATATCTATATTGAGCATTAGGAAGAGTTTTGATTTTGTCTAATTTCAAGATATAAAATACTACTTTTAAAGTTATTTTTAGAAAATATTCAGATCTATATTTTATTTTGGACCATCTGATTGTATATTGGATAAAATTTACACAGCAAGTTAGCTTTTCACTCAATATTTCATATACATATTTTGTGTCATTGTTTGGGCCCACACAATGTGTCGGCATTCCCTTCATTTCCATTCTGATTTCCCTGTTATATTTGTCTAGTTCCTTGTCTCTCCCTATCTTTTCAACTTTGCTTTTAGTTAGAGGATTCCCTTTTGGTCTCTTCCCCAACCCATTAAATAAAGTTTCATTTATATACCAAAGAATTTGTTATAAAATTTTTCTTTTTCATTGATTATAGGCTATTTTCTATTTCTTTGTTGTTGTTTTTATGTACCTTTGATTTGGAACTGACCCATAGCTGACCCTCTGACGAGTTTTTAGAGGCAGTAGGTTATTTGAGAGATTGCTTACCTTTCTCCCGTGGAGTATCTGGTGGATTTAAATAGCATATCTATGCATTGGCAGCACAGTTCCTTACCACTAAGCCACCAGAGCTTCCTCTTTAGTGGTTTTTTTTTTTACGCATTTTTGTACAGTCATTCAGATACATTGTGTTTCATACCATTATTCATATACACTGTGCTTTATATAATTACTATTAATTAATTCCTTTCTTCATGCTGCCACTATCTGTCCAGTAATCTCTGCTGCTCTAGTAGTTTCCCTCTCACCCCATCCCTTCTCCTGCTCCCTCTCACTCCTCCCCTTCTCCTTTTTGAACAGCTACACATATCCTAGTATGTCTATATTGATGTGTTCCATTTATTTCTTAACAATATCCAGCTTTCCTGTATTCATGGTTCTTATGTTCCATGTCCCAGTCATTTTACAACTGTTTACAACTCTTTCTCCTCCTTTGTGTTCCCAAAGTGGCTGACTCTGAGAAGAATGGAAATCCCAGAACACTTTATCATGCTTATGTGAAACCTATACTTGGACCAGGAGGCAGTCATCAGAACAGAGCAGGGAAACATTGCATGGTTCAAAATTGGGAAGGGTGTACTCCAGGCATGTGTCCTATTTCTTTATCTTCTCAGTCTGTATGCAGAACAGATCATCTGGGAGGCTGTCTGTGAAGAGAAATATGACATTAGGATTGGAGGAAGACTTATCAACAGTCCCTGTTATACAAATGACATAAACCTGCTTGCTGAAACTGAGAAGGACCTGAAGCGCTTGTTGTAGAAGTCAAGGACTGTACCCTTAAGTATGGATTGAATCTCAACATCAAGAAAACAAAGATTCTTACCACTGGGCTGATTGGTAGTATGATAAATGGTGAAGAGATTGAGATTGTTAACAGTTTCGTTTGCTTGGCTCCACAATCAACACTCTTTGTACCAACAGCTAGGGAATTAGACAAATTACATTGGGAAAGTGTGCTGTCAGAGACCTCTCCAAAGTACTGAAGAGCAGCGATGTCAATCTAGAGACTAAGGTGTGCCTAATACAGGCCATATTTTTTGCATTTACTTGCTATGCATCAGAGAGCTGGACAGTGACTAGGGTGAGCAGATGCCTTTGAGCTGTGGTGCTGAAGAAGAGTATGGCATATACCATGGAGTGCTAGGAGAACAAACAGGTTTGTCCTGGAGAGGGTGAAGCCAGGCTGCTCCTTGGAGGCAAGGATTCTGAAGCTGCTTCTGACTCACTTTGGACATGTTGCAAGGTAGGATCAGTCCTTGGAGAGGGACATCATGCTTGGGAGTGTGGAGGGACAGAGCAGGAGAGGAAGACCCTCTCTGAGATGGATTGATTCAGTGATTGGGGTAATGGGGTAGGTGTGTCAGAGACAGTAAGATTGGTGTAGGATAGAACAGGGTTTAGGTCTGTTGTACATAGGGTTGCAATGAGTTGCAGGTGACTTGATGGCCCATAACAACAACAACAATACATATCCTGGTCGCTAATTGAATTAGCCATATTGTATGTAGATCAGTTTTCCCAGGTTGATCCTCCTTTATCCTGATCCTTTATACAACTCATTGACTGTACATTCCTATTTTTGCTCTTCCCATCTTTTCCACTCTGTTAACTTCCTGTTAATGCAATAATAGTCTTATTCAGTATTTGTCCTTTTGTGACAGTAACTTCATTCAGGATAATGTCTTCTAGACTCACTCAGTGTGGTGTAGTATTTTGTTAATTCATTGCTACTTAGTGCTGTACAGTATTCTATTGTGTGGATATAGGACAATTTCTCTACATGTGGGTTTTTTCTGTTTTCTTGCTGGCTTGAATAACACTGTGGTCAACCTTGGGGTGCATACCCTTTTGGTCTCTTACTGTAGATTTAAGGTGTTTAAATATCCCTGGGGTGTAACAGACTACTCTGTTTGACTGAAAGGTGGTCTCAGTTCCACCTGAACCAATGGCTTCAGTTCTGAGTTAGAAAGTTGTCTTAGGGAAATAGTCTGGAGGGTTCTTGCAGTCTCTATCATACAAGTAAGGCTGGTCTTTTTTATAACTTTGAATTTTGTTCTCTTATTCATCTACTTTAACTAAAACCTTCCATTGTGTTCAATGCAAGAATAATTGATAGCTGTAGCCACTGTCAGACTGTCTATCATTAAGACTCCAAATCCTGTTCATCAAGCTAGGGTGCAGAAGAATTAATTTAGAAACTGTACTAAGCCAGTTGATCTTGAGACCTCTAACCTTAGTATTCAAAGTTCATGACTGAGAAATCTTTTAGTCCCGGGAGATAATTCTTAAAGCTCAAAATGCTTTCGTTACTGTGCCATCTGTGAACTCTATTATATGTATGTATGTTGTTGTTGTTATGTGCCGTCAACTCATAGTAACCCTGTGTGTAAGAGCCCTTAACCCTACTCTGTCCTGTGCCAGTCTCACACTGTCTCCAACACACCCACCCCGATTACCCCAGTCACTGAATCAATCCACCTCATAGAGGGTCCTCCCTTCCTATGCTGTCCCTCCACCCTCCCAAGCATGATGTCCCTCTCCAAGGACCGATCCCTTCTCACAACATGTCCAGAGTATGTCAGACAAAGCCTCAGAATCCTTGCCTCCAAGGAGCAGCCCGGTTTAACCCTCTCCAGGAAAAATTTCTGTTTTCGTAGCAGTCCATGGTACACTCAATACTCTTCTCCAGCACCACAGCTCAAAGGCATCAGTTCACCTTCTGTCTTCCCTAGTCATTGTCCAACTCTCTGACGCATAACAAGTGATTGCAAAGACCATGGCCTATATCAGATGCACCATGGCCTATATCAGATGCACCTTAGTTTTGAGAGTGACACCATTGCTCTTCAGTACTTTG